AAAAAAAAAAAAAAAAAAAAATCCCGCCGACATCAATGCATATCCGCTACTTCCGCTTCCTGAAACTCCGTCCCTTGTCGGTTGCCGTTAGTTGGTCTATTATCTACCTCCTTTGTCCATTGCAACCATCCGCTTCCATCCATAGGATCCCTCCATATCCCTTTTGTTTTCTTTGCTATAGCTTTGTCTATCAACTTCAATAATCGGTCGGCAGACAGTCTCGACGCACAATATCATCATCCGTCGAGTTGTGTAGACGATGCGAGAGACTTAAACGCACGGTCAGGAAAAAGAACCCCGGTGATGCTCGGCGTTCTTAGAGGTCTGTAGAGTAAGTTCCTAGTGATCCATCGTTAGACAGGAAAACAAGAGATAAGAAAAACTTTGTCATCTTTGTCTATCAATTTCAATAATCGACCCGCAGACCGACACTGCAAAGAAGACATTCATTCTGGTCGCAATTATTCAGTTCAAAGACCCCACTCGCGTCAAGGCACTTGACGAGCAGGCTGTTGTGGGAGTAAGACTGTTGTTGGGCCAGGGTCTTCTTCGCTTTGATCTGCAATTAAGGTCCGGAATCGGTGCATCGAGCATTGATACAATGCCCTCCCCCCCCCCTCCACACCCTCTTCACGACCTGTTTTTTATTCCTGTTAGGTGAGGCTGCGCGCTATGAGAAGTGGGTGAGCAACAGTCGATTGCACTCGCTGCGACGCGACGCATGCGCAGCGCGTGCGCTTTGTCCGGAAACCAAGCCCAACGTAGGCCAGGAGAACAAAGGATCGTAAACAAATTGGAATGTATTTTGCAATTTGGAACTATAAATTCTGGCTCTTTTGGAAACACACTTATGTGCATAGGGAAACTAATGACACATACGTTGTTTTTAAACGGGACTAGAATTTATAGTTCCGAATTGCAAAATGTAGTACCATTGAGCCATTTGCAATTTTGAAAGTATCAATGGAAATTTTATTTGTCCACACTTGGTGCTCGATTCCACAATGAAAGGGATCTGATCAGAGGCAACATTTTAAATACCCCGCACTCCCCCTCCCATCTTCTCCATTGTGATTACACTGAAAAAAAAAGAAAAAAAAAAAATTCCACCGCGGAAGCTGTATTTACCGGCTTCATAAACATACCATCCACGTTCTAGGTTCAAAGGCCGAAGGTTCCAAGCGTAGCAGCCGGAGGAGTCAAAGCTATAGCTCCAGCAACCGGAACTTCCGGCCTCTGAGCCCAGAACGGACGGTATGTCTATGAAGCTCGTAACTTCTTTTTCAGTGTCAGTTAATTGGTTTTCCTCAGATTAGTTGAGGTTGGAATAGAGAATATTTCCTTTTAGCATCGATGAAATTCTATCATGGGTGGATTCAGACCAGAAAGTTGATTGAGAGGCTTCCGTCCCCTTTTTCTCCCTAAAAAAAAGAAGACGAAATTTT